AAATTGACTCAATCCCACATGATTGTCTTAAAATTGGGAGCTACGGATTCTTTCCCCATGTTCCTTGTCTCAGACTTTCTGTGTCCTTTTCCTTTTTTTTCATTCCCTTTCCTGATTGTGTTATTCACCAACATTCAGTTCTGTAAAATGACTTGTGTTCAGTGTCTGGTATCATTTTGTTCTGAATGCCTACGGCATCTTTATGAGAAGCAGGTGACACTCCCCCATTGCCCACCAGAGAGCAGACTTGGATATCCAGTTTTGGACCTTTGGGAACAGAGAATGGTTTTTCAGAACAGCAGAGTCGAGAAAACATATAGTTTCAAGAAAATACAGTATCAGGGACCCTGGAGATTATACTTTGGAGATTTTTTTTCCTAAATTAGAGCTCGTTTAGCTATCCTTAATTGGCTTGGAGCCAAATATCCTTCCTAAGTGTTATAACCTGACTTGAATGGGAATGGTTTTGAATATAAAACAATGCAACATGTCTCAAATCACAGTTTTACTAAAATCCAAGAGAGAGAGATGTGATCCTTATCCTCATTTATTCCTTATATGTGTCCTTGATAAAAGTTCACATTTGTAAAACATATGCAATAGGATATAAGTATAAGTATCTTACAAATGGATTAACTATAGAATTGCTTTAGAGAGCAAAAAATGCAGGTTTCCTCTACTGCATTTTAGGGGAGAAGGAGGCAACGATTTAACACTTTAGGCAGGGAGTCAAGTACACCCTAAGGTACTCTGTAAATTATAGTCTAAAACATTCATACTTATATTCAGAATGTGCTTAAAAGTAAACAGAAATTTACTTCAGTGTCTTAATCTTTATTGGACCTGGGCCTACCCTCTTCCTTTTTCGGTCAGGGCCTGGCTGAGCTGGAAAAACCGTCCTTGGATGACTGAGAATCAATCAAAATCCCATAGATATATGTTCAAACACATGTGACAACGATTACTAGTTGAAAATATATATCATTTAAATCTATAAAACTCATCTCACCCTGGCCAGGTGGCTCAGTTGGTTGGAGTATCGTCCTATATACCAACAAGTTGGTGGGTTTGATTCCCCTGGTCAGGGCACATGCCGAGGTTGCAGGTTCAGTCCTTCGTCAGAGTGTGTGTGGGAGACAGCTGATCAATGTTTCTCTCTCTCTCTCTCCTTTACTCTCTCAAAATCAATGAACATATCCTTGGGTGAGGATTAAACACATACAAAAAGCTTTCCTCATCTCATTGTCATTGTCTTGACCATAGTCACTAGAGGCAATGTCCTTGTGATAAAGTTGCCATTTGTGGCCTTGGTGCTCTGCAAATACAGGATGACTCTCTGGTCCGTGTGAATCCCAGAGCTCATTAATCCATGGCTAGAAGAGCTAAATTACAGTTGCTAATGTGATGCCCTACCTCTTCTTTTTGTGCCAGAAAACATCCTGAGAATGATATAACATTAAAAGAGAGATGGTTTAAGGGTGGTTTAGGCTCATAAAAACCACAGTAAATCCTAGAAAAGGAAGAGTCAGTCTGTCTCGGAAACCAGAACATAACAAGTAAAAGGCAAGCATAACTTCTTCTGTAAATTAATCTGCCTTTGTCAGAAGACAGTAGAATCAGGTTCTGTCTTCCATAATAACACATGAACGATGAGTCTCTTTATTCTTCGTTGTAGTTCTAATGTCATAGGCAGGCCTTCCTTTTTGCCTGCTTTTAGGGTATCTTTGTGATTTGGTTCAGGTCATCCTCTGATACCTATCATCCTGCCCTGGTTGAGATCATAGAGATAGAAATAGCCCATAGAATTAGGAGGACATTATTTAAAAAATGAAATAGTTCCAACTGGTCCAAGAATGACTACAACATGCGTAGGATTGGTTACCCTAATCTTACCTGTATTGGTACACGTCTTCTGGAAATTTAGACAAAGTTGTGCAATCATTTCATCCAATACAGAATTTGTCATTTTATAAGATTCTAATTTATGAAATGAAAAAATAACAGTGTATTTTGAGAGTCATTGTTCTTCCCTAACTAGAGGAAAAAGGAAATGGCCTTAATTATAAATGGAATAGATAAGAGATGATTGCTGTAATTGGCTTGTGACAGGTGTGACTCCATGGTCTATCAGACAGAAATGGACTGGAGCCCTCACTGGTGTGGCTTGGTTGGGTGTTGTCCTGCAAAGTGAAAGGTCGCTGGTTCCATTCCTGGTCAGGGAACATGCCTGGGTTATGAGTTTGGTCCTCAGTTGGGGCATGTACAGAGGCAACTGATCTGTTTCTCACTCATATCGATGTTTCACTCCCTCTCTTCCTTCCTCCCTTACCCTCTCTCTAAAAATAAATGCATAAAACCTTATAAAAAAAAGAAAGAAATGGACAGAAGCTGGCATGTTTGACTTAACTACCAAGTTCTGGATGGTGGAGTCTAGGGAAATGTTGCCTATATACAAAGTAAGCCCTCACTATCAGGATGTTTTTAAGAAAGCAGAACCCAATTTGAACTCCTAAATTCAAATTTCACACCAGTCGCTGGAGAAGAACTTTTGATTTAAAAAATGTATTTTCAGTGTGGTCCTTCTAGGGTTCACTGGGATATGTCTAAGACCTAGATCTTATTTCTAGTATATTAAGACCAGCAAAGGAGACATTAGAGAAACATAAATGGCACTGTGGAATTAAATGTTAAGTTTTTATGCCAGAAGTATTCAGAAGTATTCAGTTAGTGTGAGCTGGAATAATTAGTGAAAACTTTCTGGAGGAGGGGCATCTTGCGCTGAGCTTTAAAGCATGGGAGTGGGATTGGGATCTAAGGAACACAGGAGACAGAGACACGGGAGACATGAAGGTGAAGGTGATCTGAGAGCGTGGAGCAGGCACAGTAAGGAGAGAAATGGCCAAGCCTGACTGGAGTTCAGAGTCCATCCTGGGAAATAAGGGTGGGTGACATTACGAAGAGCCTTTAAAATCCGACCATGCTTTTCAGGGAAATGCAAATTAGAACCAATTGAACCATTGCATAGCCACCAAAAAGTAAAATTACAAAGTCAGGTGTTGGCAGGAATGCAGAACAACTGAAACTCTCCTACTTTGCTGGTGAGTATGTAAATTCCTTCAACTGTCTTGAAAACTATTTGCATAGAAATGTAAGCAACATTATTCGTAACAACTCCAAACTAAAAACAGTTCACATATCCATCAGTAGGAGAGTAGAAAAATTGTAACATATTTACAAAATGGAATAATACATAGCAATAAAGAACAAATTACTGTTACAGCACCATGAGTGAATCTCACAGCATTATGTCAACAAAGGAAGCTAGGCACAAATAGTATATATTGTATAATTCCATTTATATAAAGTGAAAGGACAGGCGAAACTGTCAGTGGCTATAAAAGTCAGAATAGTGTTTACCTTCAGGGAGGTTTGGTTTATTAACTGCAAAGGGGCTAGTGGTTTTCTGGAGACCTGTAGCTGTCATTGATGTTGATCCGAATGGCAGTTACATGGATATATATGAATGTAAAATATTGAATTAAGCTCTATACTTAAGGTTATGTACTTTGTATATGTACTGAATGTAAGTTATGCCTATGTAAAAAAGTAAAAAAAAAAAAAAAGTAAAAAAATAAATCAGGTCATGAAGTTTGGATTTGTTGTGGGAAGTAATAGGGAAGCATTAATGACTCCTCAGCAGGAAAGCAACTTAAAGAAAGTGATGCTTCTGTAATTAGCCCTGGCTGGTGTGGCTCAGCGCATTGGGTGCCACCCTTCGAACCTAAAGGTCACTGGTTCAATTCCCAGTCAGGGCACATGCAGAGTTGCAAGCCAGGTTTCCAGTTGGGGGTGTTTATCTCCCTTTCTTTTTCTCTTCCTTCCCCTCTTTCTAAAAATAAATAAATAAAAATTTTTAAAAAATTATTCATCTTGTAAGGAGGTGGAGAATAGAACAGTGTTCAGATCAGCTATTTTATCTAGGTCAGATATAGTGCCAGATTTTGTAGGAGATGCAAAATATCCAAAATACTTAATTTCTCTTAAGTCTTGACTTCCTTTGAAAAAAAGAAAAAAGGAGGGGAAAATATACCTGAAAAGAGTGTAATGAGAATTAAGTGAACCTAGCCAGATTTATAGTATCTAGCACAAAATAGGCACACATAATAAGTGTAAGATTCATTTCTCTTGAATGTAATGGAGTACGCAAATGTGTGGCACCGATAATGCAGGGGATAAGTGATGTGATTGGATCAGGGTGGTACAGGTGGAGAAAGAAAGGGCAGATCATAGTATTATATTTTTTAAAGATAGAGCAAATTTAATTAGAGGAGGAAGTACTTTCTGTACTCTGACTTTATACAAGGTATGTCTCTATTTTTGTCTTTTTATAAGATGAAAATAATATAAAATGGTATCCTTGGATTGTTCTGATGCCAACTTGAAGGTGTGACATCGTTAGAAAATGTTATGGTCTCACAACCTGAAAAATGGTACCTTACTAACTAAAAGTTAATTCTTATTTCAATAATACTTTTAACAGACATTGTGACCCAACTGAAAAGTTAGTGACATTTCTCTGAGTGGAGACCCCATCACAGTCAAAGCAAAACCTAGGAGAATAAAGGGAAGGAAATCCATTTATAAATATATGTCATAAATTGATATCTGAAATAAAATCAGCAGAGTAGCAACCCAGGTCTTACTGTGTATCAGTGGTAAGCAACTTTTTGGCTAAGGAACTTTAATTTGCAGGGCAAATACTAAGCACTGATTAATATTTCAGAATTGTATTGTTCAGAGTGTTTATTTAAGAATTCAGAAGTTGACTGATACCAAGTCCTGGACATCAACCTTCCAATTTTGAAACAATATTAGGTTTCCTGTGAAATTCCTGGCTTGAATTTAGCCATTGATTTCTTATGTTTCCCAAGTTTGAGGAAAATGAAAAGGTAAATAACTCTTTCCCCTAGCCATCACTCACCTGTCCTCCTTTCTTCCAGGTATTCCGAGTGGTATGCATCGGTTTGGGTAATCCACCAGAGACATTCACCTGGGAGTATCGAGACAAAGATAAAAATTATCACAAGATTGGGCCCATAACACCCTTGGAGTTTTACAGGGAGCATGTCAAGCCTCTCTTCAGTTTGGAAGATAAGGTGGGGACTGGCACTGGCAGCCACTGGCTGTTTACTTTCAAATGTCTGTTACTGCAAGGAAGGGTGTAAGATTCCTGGGTTAACATGCATGATCATCAAACTAGAATGGAAACACACTTCCCTTCCCCTTCTTCCTCTGAGGTATTTTATGGACCTAATAATAAAGTTGATCATATCAGGGCCCCCTCTTTAGAAGACCTTTCTAACTGTAGGCTAGCATTCCGTTTAATTCCCACATGCTCCTCTGATTTTGGGCCCAGAATCATTCCCAGGTGCAAAGACAATAAAAATGTATTGGATGTTTCTTACTGTAGTTTCAGAGTACCTTGAAATGTACCCTCCACCCCCCATTTCCACCCGGGGACTCTTACGGAAAGGAGCAATGTCCCATCCTAATTTTTCCTGCTCTCTTCCGGTCTTCTCCACGGCCTAGCAAGATGACCAGAGACCCCCCTCCTTCATCGTCATTTTGACCCTTTTATCAGCAAATGGCTTTGTTTTATGCTTGGAATCCCAACTCAGCTGAGGTATTGCTGGATGTTGAGCCCATCTAGGAACACGAGAGCAGGAATCTTGTAGTGATGGGATCTCCACCTTGCCTTACTCAGTGCGTGTAACTCCTCAGAATTACTTTTGGGGGTAATTCTTGTCAGTAGGAAAGATGCAGCTCCCAAATGTGTCCCTCACACTAATCAGAATGTGCAAGGATCTCTGTCACTGACTTTGTCACCTTTTGTTTCTTTGTTAATTAGCAATGTGTTTGCAGTGCTTATTCTCGTAGGCAAAGGTGATAAGCTTTGATGCAGACATATGAACTGAGAGGAGAGGTATGTACCTTTCTTGGCATTCCTGGTTTTGTGTTCTAATCAACATGTTCTTGATCTCAATAGGTTTGTTTAGTGAATGACCCTCGGCCCCAGCACAAGTACAACAAACTTTACACGGTGGACTACTTAGGCAATATGGTTGGAGGGAGAAAAACTCTCTATAACAACCAACCCGTTGACTTCTTGAAAAAGATGGCTGCTGCCTCCATCAAAGATGGAGAGGTTGGTAGTGTTTCTGTGTCTTCTGCACTGGGGTTAAAGCCTCTTCTTCCACTTTGGTGTAATACGATTTATGTTGACTTTCTTCCTCTTTCCTCTATTTCTAGGCTGTATGGTTTGGCTGTGATATTGGAAAATACTTCAGTGGCAAGCTGGGCCTCAGTGACATGAATATGTGAGTGCAAGAAATTTAAAATAGAAAGTCATTTGTAGGTTGTTGTTGGCGTGCACTCTTGATACAAAATGACTCAGCTGAGGTTCACCCAAAGAGTAAGGTTGGCCTAAGTGGGGGTCTCTTTCTTTCCATCATGTAGAGTTTAAAGACTCTAAACAAACACTTCACTTACTTATATGCTTTAAACTGGGAAGTCAAGATCATACTTCATGTCTGCATTGAAATTGTTGGGATGTTCCTAAAAAGCCATCCTATATGAGAAAGGCACTTTAAAAAAAAAAATTGATTACTGTGTAAATCTCAGACATTTGGGAATGTAATGAAATGTTTTCTAGACCTCTTGTTTGCCATTTGATCCTTCTGAACTATTTCTATTACTTTGATGACTTATATGTATTTTTTAAATTTATTTATTTTAGAGAGAGAGAGAGAGAAAGACAAGCATTAATTTGTTGTTCCACTTATTTATATAAGTATTCGTTGATTCTTATATGTGCCCGGACTGGGGATCAAACCCCCAACCTTGGCATATTGGGATGACACTGTAACTGAGCAACCCAGTCAGGGTGATGACTTACGTATTTTGTCTCTTTAACAACTAGAACTAATTTACATACGCACTTTAAAACAGTCCTCCTGGTTGTTGATGACAATGAAGGTTCATTTGTGAATAAAATTATGCAAGATTTGTGACTATTAAAATATACCACTTTAGAGTTACTTATAAGTAGTTGTTACTTGTAGGAAGTTGAATGAATAACTTGACAGTTAACAAGAGAAAAGAAACCTGCCAAAAGAGAATTCATGAATTTTTAACTTTGCAAATATTCTCCAATATTTTTGATACTATTTATTTAAATTTCACAGTCAACAATGGTCTGAATGAATTCAGAAACGGGGTGCTTCTACCAGCTGAAGACAGACCATTTTTGATAGCATTCAAAAGCTTTATTTAAAGTTTCCTTGTCAAAATGACAGTCCAAGCACATCTTGTCAACTGGTTGGTAGGGGGAGTTTATGTTTAATCCCTTCATATTTTCTTGAGCACTCTTGTGACACATAGAGAATAGAACGCCACTGAGAGACTAAATTCTGTGTGTACCCAGTTCTCTGGAGAGCTACAGTCCATGTTTATTTGAGCTATTGGGCCCCTTCAGTTTCTTCTCTGTTCCTTTTACAACCAGAAGCTATCTTTCCCCCTTGATTGTACTCTTTATTCTGTACTGTCATTTTTTTTTTTTTAACAGCTATGACTATGAATTAGTGTTTGGTGTCTCCATGAAGAACATGAATAAAGCAGAGAGGCTGACTTTTGGTGACTCACTTATGACCCACGCCATGGCCTTCACTGCCGTCTCAGAGAAGGTACGACCCTCTCAGCATGCCCACCACAGTGTTTACACAGATGGACCTCCGTTCTCCTGCAGACTCTTTGTCCATCAGAGCTTCATTCAGAGAGTGTATATGAGTTTTGGTAACAGTTAGCTTCCAAGCAAGACACTGTAGCTGCGTCACTTGAGGTTTGGGCGCATACCCGGAGGCAGTAAAAACAGGAACTTTCCATGAGGAGCAGAGTTTGGGTCAGCAGGGAATAAGGAAGGAACTGCTTTTCTGTAACTTTGGAAGTTCTTGGTGTGAAGAGAGGTTGGCAAGGGAACCTGGGAAAAGATCGTTTCTGTTGAATAAGGAATTTAAGTGTGCCCTGAAAGTGTCCATATCTTGATAACTTGTGTTCAGACTTACCTTCCTTTCACTCGTCATTCAGATTCTTCTGCAGCAAAATGTCCAACAGTATTTATGGACTCCACGCCCTTCCATTACTGCATTTATACAGAGCTTCAGGAAATTGGATATAAAGTATTTTGAATTTCCTATGAAATACTCTGAATAGTAATATCACTATTTCTAGGATACGCTGTCAGAAACCACCGCTGAAACTTCATCTTTCACAAACAAGCTTCCCCAGCTCTGGGCTGCAGAGTGGATATTTTACACCTGTGCTCAGGGACCATGAGGAAGAGAAGACTTCAGACTGCTTAAATTTTTCTACCATAAGCAAAGATGTTCTTTTTATAACCTGTCTAATTCAGGAAAAGAAAGTCACAGAATAACTAACTTGACATTAGAAGAAACTTTTAAGAAATATTTTAATAAAATACCATAAATAATAAAGTAAAATACTAAAGTAAATCAAATAGAATAAAATACTAAAATACTACACTGTTCATATTTATATATTTGGACCTACTAAATTCAGTGGCTTTATAACTAAAGTTTCTAAAATTAAGGTTAAACTTTTAAATTTTTAGAGAACTATTAAGAAACAAACTAAAAACCTTATAATTTCTAAGACAGGTTTGGCTTTCTATCATTTTCTGTCTCAAGAGTATTCATATTTTTCAGAGTTAATAATCATACATACTTATGAAGAAATAAAAATCATATATATCATGTCATATTCTCAGGAACTCTTATTCTTTATCATTTTTTTTCTTTAGGGGAATGGAGCTACCTTACATGCTAATAGTATAAAGGGGAATTTATATTATCACAACTGGAATTTTATAGTGAGATTTTTCTCTTCCTTCCTTCTAGTTTGAGTTTTTGACCACTGAGCCTAGCTTGCATTGTATTTGAGAGATAATGCAGAGATAAATGCCAGTAGCTGTATTTTGGGATATTCTTTCTTATTGCTGCTTCCATAGAACCCCTGTAAGGGAAGTCCTGTTATTTTTCTGTGTGTGTAGGTGACAGAGAACATCTTGATCTAGGTCATGCAGGAATTCATTGGCAAAGGGAAGAAGAGGAAGCATTTTCATACAGATTCCGATGGTGGTATTTAACAGGAAAGTAAAGATGGACTGTAGTGGGGGGGGGGACAGAAAACCAAACAGGCATTTAATAGGCTAGTCTTAGAATGTAGAGTTTAATGATGTAGCTTTGCAGGTATCTGGGGCTAAAATAAGAGGTAGTACAGATAAGGGTGTTTGAAATTTGTGCGTTTGGTTGTTGGCTATTTCTGACCAGAAAATTACTGAGATCCAAGAAATCTGCCAAGAATAGAGTCAAATCCCATGCAGCTGAGACTCATGCAGTTCTATGCAAGCGGGAGCTGACAGGTGACATCATTAGATAACACAGGAGCCAGCTCCCTTCTCACGCTACAGAGACTTAAGTTGTTCGGATATCGTTGAATGCCCTGACTGAACATGGAAGAGAGAAGTCTTTCCCCCAATGAAGCCTTCCTTTTGTCCCTCTCTGTGCCACTACAGTAAAGACTATAAATGAAGGTTTTTATGATGCATATCATTGTTCCTTTAAGGAGATGAAAATTAAACTTATTTGATTAAGGAAAATAGAAGAGAGAGAACAGTAGTACTGCCTTGGTTTTGTTTCATGAAAATAGTCTTTTTACTTTTGCTTTGCCATTCAATCTCTATTGGGTTTAATTCAATATTGGTGTAACTGAATCAGTAAAGGCACACATTTGGAGAGTGTCAATACTTGGTTTCCCTAAGTAGAAAATTAGGTTGTATGATGAAAATGTGTTTGTTTTCCTTTGTAAACTCTGGCCAGATCTTAGAATCATTTCTAAAATAAATACATTGGGATGCCTTTGCAAAGAATGCTGATCGATTAAAAGTGAGAGTGTTGGCTTCAGATGGTGTTCACTGCTTTCAGTAATTTAATATTTTGTTTTTCTTAGCCAAGTAGCATTTTAATATGTTTATTTTCTGTATAGACTAGAGTGTAAAGGAGAAAATAGTACAATTGCTTTGTTAAGTTCATTGCATTTTTACCCCAAAAGCTTAAAACACTTCTGTTGGAGTCTCCCTTTAGTTACAGTAGAAGAGACATGGCCCTGATCATGTATATGCCGGCGTATGTCACGGCTGAATAGAGAAGGCTGTTGCTTCTGAGTGGCTGAAGAAAAGCTAAAATTAACATGACATGCCGGCAGGAGGGAAGTAGTTTCAGACTCTCCACCCTTATCCATTCTTTTGCAGGATGATCAGGATGGTGTATTCGTGAAATGGAGAGTGGAGAATTCGTGGGGTGAAGACCATGGCCACAAAGGTGAGCTGAAGCTGGTAATGCCAACTCTGCTCTCTGCCCCTAGAGATATGGGTAGAAATCTGCCCTAGTGTGGAGCATTTTTCAGTAATTTGTCCCTTTGGATAGACTATTCTAGAGAAAAATCTGAGGATCTAGTTTGTCCGCAGGACCTCTGTGACCAAAAGAGAATGTCTGAGTCACCCAAGTTGATGCTGAGAAGAATATGGGCCAGCATGGTGACCCTACTAGACCTCTTTGTACCAGAGCACATTGGCCAGTGAGAAGATTGAGTGCTCTTTATCAGGACACTTGCTATATAGCATTTGGTGCATTTTCATCTCCTGTACTAAGTCTCTAGAAAGTCAGCGCCTCTGAGTGGGAGAATGGGATTGGCAAGAAACTGTATGCATTTATTGGAGACTCTAGGAGTTGCGAAGTCTATGGAGTAAAAGAATGCTTTGGTTACTGTTTAGAACTGTGGTGTTATGACAAATCAAAACCCAGGCAGAAGTCATAAATAAATTATAATGATTAGGCTTTAAAAAATTCCACAGGTAATATATGAGTTGTCAAAAAATAAAATATATAGATAAACAAAAAGAAGAAAATTAAAATCTCTAATAATCTTACCACCTACAGATCACCATTAACAGTTTAGAGTATTTTTTTCCTTGCAAATTTTTGAGACTGTATTTTTTTAAAGATTTTATTTATTTATTTTTAGAGAGGAGAAGGGAGAAAGAGAGAGAAACATCAATGTGTGGTTGCATCTTATGCGCCCCCTACTGGGGACCTGGCCTGCAACCCAAGCATGTGCCCTGACTGGGAATCAAACCAGCAACCCTTTGGGTCACAGGCCAGCACTCAATCCACTGAGTCACACCAGCCAGTGTGAAACCGTATTTTTAAAAGCTATTTTTCATAGTAGATAAAACCCTTTTAAGCAGGTTTTATGTGTTAATTTTTAGGGTTTCAAAGCAAAAGTGGTGACTGGTATAGAATATTATGCATGTGAGCATGTATTTGCATGTGCGCAATGTGCTGGTGGCATTTGTTGCAGCTCTTTTTCAGATTTCATATCCCTTACTTTTAGTCAGTGGATTTTGGCTAGGAAAATGTATTGACCACAACTTACTAAATTAGATAGAAGACTAGGAGGAAAGCCAATGAGATACCTAGACACTTAGAATCAAAGTTCAACATACATACCTCTCCCCCAAGTGGGAATCAGCCAGAAATTTTCTTAAAAAAAAGATAAAACGGAGATTACAGCAACTCTTTGCCTATTACCTCCCTCAATGTTTGGAACAATGATCTTTCCAACTATGTTCCTGGGAGCCCCAGGATTTCCAAGGGTAAAAGATGGTGGAGGAAGAGTGTGGAGGCTGGGGAGTGAGCAGATGGGGCTTCAAAGGTTTATATTTGAAATCTTCTGTCTTAGAAGAGCCTGTTAACCTGAATTTTGATTGAGCAGCACAGGCCTATATATGATGGCCAAAACCTAGAGGCCATTGAATCTGTCAGTCCAGATCTTTCCATCTCCCCATGAAAGGATCATTGGTGGGTTTTGGCTAATTCCTTGGGATCTGCTGTGAAACTCAGCAGCCCAGTGTTTATATGTGAACAAATACAAGTGCTATTAGTGCATTTCTGTTCATCAAAAGATAGTTGCATGTCCCCTTTCTGTGATTTCTGTTACTGTTCTCTGATTACATGGTGCTTATTAAGTTACTTCATGCATTAGAGTGCAATGTATTTTTTAATTGGTGATTTCTTATAAGATGAACTTCATTCTGAGGCAAATGCACGTTGGAATCATGTAGAGATGGCGTATAAACCTTAAAACTAGAAGAAAGCTTAAAGATAAACAATTTACAATTTACTTATATCTGTAAATTGATGGTAGTTAACAACTGAATGCAAGGGAATAGCTTATCTTGAGTGGGAAGAACTTGCTATTTGTAACCTTTTAAAACATATGATATTGTCAGCTAGTTTCATTTTCGGTCTAATTTGGTACCTGTAGTTGGATTTGTTATCATAGAAGTTACTGTCTAAGAAAAGGACTAAAGTTATGGTTTGTTTAGATGAGCCTGGATTACTTGGCTTGCTTTGGTTACATTTTTCTATCTTTAATAGTCACTGAGTTTGTAGGTAACAATGCTATTCATTTAAGAGAGGGTAAGCACTTGTAAAGGCAGGAAAGTGCTCAGTGTTTTGGGTAGTGTGAGTTACTGTTTTTATTGCAGTACTTTGAACCTAAATACCTATTCTTAAAGAGAATTCTTGCCTCTTTGCTAATTTTTTCTTTCATTCAACTGTGCCTCTCTACTCTGACTTAATACTGTGGGTATGTAGGTTTTGCTTTTGCTGATTTATTCATTCTGTTTTACAGTCGTCCCTGTGTATCCACAGGGGATTGGTTCCAGGGCCCCCTTGAAATGCCAAATTCTGCAAATTTGGAAGTCCCTTATATAAAATGGAAAATGATGTATTTGTATATAATCTACACACATCCTCCCATTTACTTTAAATCATTTGTAGACAGTTATATACATAATACAATGTAAATACTTTATAAATAGTTGTTATACTATTGTGTAGGGAATAATGGCAAGGAATAAAGTCTGTATCTGTTCCATGCAGATATAACCATTGTACGCCTAACTATAGAATGCATGTCAGCAACAACATAGCTTTTTTCCCCTGAATATTTTCAATCTGTGGTTGGTTGAATCCACGGGTATGGAACATGCAGATACAGAAGGCCAGGTGTTGAGAGAGCTGGAGTCTTGAGCCCAGTGATCTGCTTGTAATCCTTTGTAGTGAAACCCGCAGCTATCCAGTTAAGATTAAAGTAACTTTTTTTTTTTTTTTCTGAATAACTGAAATGCCTGAGATTATACAAAGCTTCAGTAAAAAGCCAAAAGATAAAATGACCTGAGTGGAGGTAGGGAATAGTTCATTCATAGCCAAAATAAATTATTCCCATGTATTTTTTGGTAATGAAGATTTAACAGGAAGGAAGGAAAGAAAACATGATCTAATTTAACTGGCACACTTGGCCTGACCTTAAGAGGATGTATACTATGTTATTTTGCTGGTGATGTGTGTTTATGCCAGCAGGGCCCTCCTTCCTGTCTGTCATCCTAGTGAGTACTGGCTGGCACGTCAGAGGCATAACCTCCGTTTGTGTTCTCTTGGAGACCTGACGACCTTAAACAGCATTGCTGGGATTTTGTTTCTATAGATAACATTGTTAATAGTTTGTTACTGTTCTCTTCAGGATTTCTGCCTGGTAAGATTGACGGTTTCTGAAAAAGTAGTGTTAATACAAACTGGAGGTAAAGAGAGCAGAGATACCTGGGCAGGATGCCCTTGCCCTCTGCCTAGTCTTGGGCCTTAGTTTTCCCCTGTTGATCATGTTCATGGCCATAACCGGACTATTTCCCAAAATAGACAAAGATTCCTTCTGATCACAAAAGGCATAAAAGGAGAAATTAATTATTGTCTTACTGGGCCCTTTGGATTACTTTATGTTGGTGAATTCTAATTCCTTAGCTGGACTGAAAACTGGATGCGTATCTAACATGTTGTAAACTCAATATGGCTTTCTTTTCTCTCCTGCTTCTTGAAATACTTAACTATGCATTTCTAAGTTGTTTATGAATCATGTCAGAAACAGATTTCACAGTTGGATGAAGGAACAGACCTTGGAACTTGTTACATTGTCTTTCATTTTGAAAAGCTTATAGGTTTATTAGAATAAGTAGTTTGTAAAATTTAATCTGAGAAGAAGATAATTTTTAAATGAAGATGACCCTAGTCTGATACTAGAGCCTATTTTCTTAACCACTAAAATGTGCTTCCTCTCAGCATCTCTGATCAAGAAACATCTAGTCCACTCATGGGAATAACAGATAAGTCATGATCTTTTTTGACCAGAATCTAGTGACTGAGGGGATATAAAACTGTATAATGCATCTGAAGACACGGTGTAAATGTCCCATGTCAGGAGAAGGGGCTCTAGAGGCACCATTTGTCAGGGAATGTGAATAAGGAAGAAGGGCTAGGTTTGTGTCTAAAGTGAGCACATTGGGAGACAGGTAAGTAAAAAACTGGATGTAGTCATCCCAAATTTCCCAGAATTATTTTGATTCTGCTTTATGGTTTTGTTTGTTTGTTTGTTTGCAAATGCTGCTTTATAGGTTTTTTTCCTTAATTCTTTTTATCATGGACAATTTTAAGCACATAAACTTTTGATATCAAGGATATCAAAAATAGGCTCTAGTATCAGACTACGGTCATCTTGGTTTAAAAATTATCTTCTTCTCAGATTAAATTTTACAAACTATTTATTCTAATAAACCTATAAGCTTTTCAAAATGAAAGGCAATGTCACAAGTTCCAAGATCTGTTCCTTCACGTGGGCCATCACACAGCTTCAGTAGTTATTAGCGTTCTGCTGTGCGTATAACAAAGTATTTTTGGTTGCTAATAAAGTAAATTCTTACACGGTTTCCCTAATGAACCAGTCTTATGGAACTTCTTTATGATTGGTTCACATAATCATGAGATGGTATTCCAGTCCTAAAGTCTCATATAGCACAGGTCTTAATGTGGACCTGTGCTATTAATGTTTGTTTAATATCTTGCTTCATAAGAATTCAATATAATGTTTGTTTAATCTGGTTTCTTAATATGCTAAATAACAACTTTTAAGTGAGGGTAGGTAGAATGTTATTCTCTATTCAGTGGTCTCTGAAAGAAAATCTTTATCTTTTTAAAAATTCTGTCTCTCCTGCTTTTCATTTTGAACCAAGATTAATGTTTCATTTTTCAAATTGCTTTTGTGTCTTTCAGATACATCAGCATTTGAAATTGTTTTTAACCCACATTCTTCATCTTTGCTTACAAATAAACTTCTCTGTTCCTGATTTCATTTTAATAAAATTTCCAAATTCCCTCCTAAAAAGGGGATATCTTGATGATTTCAGTTATATAGACTTTGGCATATTAGA